AGGCATAAAAACTGACATTAAAATTTAAACAAAAACTCTTTTAAATAAAGATTGAGTTTGTCACCCACCATGCTTGATTCAAATGAATAAAAAGTCAGTGGCCAGTGGGTTATAATTAATTACAACAGAATCATTTTAACCCCTTGTTGCTAAAACACAATTTAATGGACAATAAGTTTCTTCCATGGAATTAATCATTAATCAACCCATTTTTTTTGTTTTGTTTTTGTGAGGGTGGGGTAAGGGGTAGGATTTATCTTAAAACCACATATAAAGATCATAGTTTCTTTATTTTTTTTTTTCAGTTCAGAAGAAAGTAATAAACTTTTACAGATGTCTCAAAAAGAGGATAATGCTGATGGGATTTCTGAAATACTTAAATCAAATGTTCAGAGTAATTACGTTGATAGTGGTAAAGAATTTGAGCAAACATCAACTATCTTGCCTAATGTTAGAAACATAGAAGGGATTTCTGATGTACAAAGTGGCTCTTTATTTAAACATGTGAAAAAAGAAAACTCCCAAGAAAGTTCTAAAAATCCAAGACCACTTAATAAAATGGAGCAAACTAATGACCTTGACCTTAATGCACTGGTCAAAGAGGAACAGGAAACTTTGTCCTCCCAAAATAAAAAAATTACCCTAACAAAAATGTCTCCAGCAAAAAACAAAAATCAAACACCCAAGAAATCCCCCAAAACTCCTACCAAAATCAAAATTTCTTTTCAAAGTCCAAAAAAGCGACGCATTTCAGATAATATTTCAACAGAAGCTATAACAATTAAAAGGTGAGATTTATTACAGTAATATTTTGTCCACCGTATCTTCAATGTGCTAATTCAGTTGTTCCTATCATGTTTCGATTCCCAGCGCTTATGCCCACTTTAGGTTTTCACCATTCTTTGCTGCCTTTACTATACTACTTCAAAAGAAACTATAACAATTAAAAGGTGAGATTTTATTGAATGAAAGCTACTTCTATATTTTTAATTCAGATACATTTTTACTCTTTCCTTGCATTTATTATAAGATTAAGAATGGGTTGGATTTTTTTTTTTTTTTAAATTTAAAGAATATTCTTGCAAGAATGTTGGGTTTTTATGTGCTTTTATAGTTAAGTAAATAATCAAGTTCTTCTGTCATTATTTTGTTCAAATCCCGATAGTTTTGTTCACAAATAATGTTATTGCATAAAGAGGGCAAAAAAAAAAGTAGTCTATTTTCTCCCATGTAGTAGTGTTTTAAAAATGTATTTCACTTAAAAGTCAATCATTTTCAGCTGTTGTCTCCTTCATTCTTTAGACCTAAAATTCAAGAGGATGTTCATGTGGAAAAAGGGGAAGAAGGTGATGAAGATGGCTGGCAGGATGTTGGTGATGAGTCTGACAACATGAATGTTGATGAAGCATTGGAGGAGAAAGCTGTTAAAATAAAGATGACTGCAAAAAATGTAAAATCGGTTATTCATGTAAGTTTGGCAACACCAAACTTGTTGCAACAATTTTCTTAATTAAAGACTTTGTCTGAACTGATAAAGAGGTTGTTCAAAGAATACAATAGCAGATCCATATGAACAATTTTTTTTTACGAAAGGGGTAATATATTTAGTAAAAAAATAATGTGGTTTACAGATTAAAAAAAATAAATTAGTATTTTAAATATGACAAGGAAGGTATTGCACTTTGAGCAAATTATCAGATTTTAAACCGTCATTTAAATTGATCTCTTTCAGCATGTACTTACAAACGAGCATGTATTGAATATGTTTAAGACTGTCCTTGAATCAGAGAAAGGTGAAACATCTCTGCAGAAAACTGGAACACCAAAGAAAGTATTTACACCTGAAAAACTAGACTGTGTACCTAAAATGACCCGTGCAAAAGTCAAAGATTTTTTAGAAAAAATATGTGTAAGTATAGAAATTGACTTGATTTTTTTTTCCTAGTAATAATTAATGAGCAGTAAATATTTTATGATTTTTATCCTTCATAGTCGTATATGCTATTTCAACCAGGAAACAGTTAAACATTTAATTTTAAAAGATGAGATTACTTTAAGGGAAATCCCTTCCAGTAATTTTTTGGGTTGTTGTCATGCCCCCAAAACTATCCTTAAACCACCATCTTGTGTTTAGCTAATGAGAAATCTATTTAAAATACTTTTTAAATTCTCACCTGAAACAGTTTACACACTGCAAAACGAACATATAAAATGCGAATTATTGAAAACTTATATTTCAACAGCTACTAATGCAATATAAGTTGTCTATATTTAAAACAGGTACCATCACCAGCTAAAAGCATGAAAGATGGTCCAAGCATTCTTGATCTAGAATTTGCAGAAGAAGAAGATGATGATGAATATAACCCTGAAAAAGATGAAGAGGTGGTAGTACCATTTTTTAGCACAATTACAGTAACTAAACTTAAGTGTAAATTAATGTTTTATCCATTAACTTAAAGTGGATTTAAAATTTAAGTTTATTAAATACGTTTCAAGCTGAAATCAAAACATGAACTACAATTCTATTGTTTCATAAATAACAAAATAATTTCAGTGCCATGAGAGTGATGATGATGAAAGTATCAGCTCATCTCGCCTCAGTGAAATTGGTTCTCCTAATACAGCAGCTACCCCAACTACACCTGTTGTTAGGCATCTAAAGGAGGATTCAGTAAGTTTTAACCTGATGTAAAGTTCAGGTGGAAATGATAACCACCATTTTATTGTATGGGAGTATGAACATTTTACAGAAACATTTGTTGGGGTTGTTCGCAAATTACGTCACTTCAGGGGGGAGGGGGATTGAGAATTTGTGACAGAGGGGAGGGTAAAAAATTTGTGACGTCACGTTTTTAAAAAAATTTAAATCTTAAATTTTCTAATTTTGAAAGAAATCTTTATTTAATTAATTCAGTTGGTCACACCTTTGGCGCATATAGAAAAATGACGCAAAAACTGTTGTGGCCAATTTACATTCGGCTCGGGGATGACTTCGTTGTTTCGTGTCACAGATTTCTAATAAGGCAACATCCTAATCCATTATGAGAAAATTTGAAAGAAAAAATAATAATATTAGTTTAGTTATGAAAATTTTATGTGTTTTGATTTTTTTTTTTTATTTTCNGGGGGGTTAAAGAATTTTTGACACTCTGTGACAGGGGAGGGGGAGGGGGGGTCGAAGAAGGTCATTTTTAGCGTGATGTAATTTACAAACGACCCCTTATTATATTCTTTTTCCTCATTATGTTTTTGTGGAGAGAATTTCTATTTTTTCTTTTCTTCCTTTGCTTACTTGAATAAAAGAGATTCATGTAATACTTTTGAATCTTTATGTCTTTGGAGACTTATGGATGCCTATAGATAGAAAACATTAATTGTACTACTCGTTCACTCTAGAAATTTTTTTTTAGACTTCCACTACACCAGTCCTTTCTGCTTCTTCTACAATATCAAACTCTGGAACGCCTAGGAATTTGGTTGCTGCATTCAATGCAAGTGCTGGTCCTGCTGAGGAAGAGAAAAATGAGGGGGTAATTTTTTATTATGTCATACTTTAAAGTAATAAACTAATATTTCTTTATTTAATAATGAACTTAAATTTCTTAATCTTAAGGATTAACAATGGTCTTATTCATTTAAAAAAAAAAATTATGTTTTAATGAAACCTGTGATTTTCTAACATACCTAATGTACTATATATTACAGCATATAATGAGATCCACCTTTAATTTGAACCCCTAACTTTGTGTTTGAAAAAATGCCCTAAAATGCTCTGTCCACATATTATGTGATCTGTTGATCTAGTTCCATAATTTGACTTTTTTCCTCCAGATCATGAAACATAAGTTTGTAAAATGGTTAACTCATTAACTTTGTCAAGACAGACAATATATATTTATTTGGATTTAGCCCTTTGGTTACTTTCTTGTTGGTATGTAGTTTAAATATAAAGTGTTAAACGGGTAATGAAAAAATTACAATGATATATATTTGTAGTTAAACTCTGTAGAAATGTTTTGTACTTACAACAGGATGATAACATTGCTCTTCGAACAAGATCCAAACTGCCCCTAACCAGTACTTCAATCATAGAAATTGAAAGCAAATTTGTCGCCCCAGATATAACACCAGATATGTATGATGTTAATTGTGAAGATGCAGATTGGCTCCAGTTTCTTTCATCCCTTTACAAAACATCAGGTATTTATTTGCCTCTTATATTTTGTTTGGTTCACCTTTAACAACAGACTGCAGTCCATGAAAAATGATAATCTTTTTAATAGAAAAATAGAAAGGAGTCCAGTAATTGATGGAACCAGCCAAGAAATATCATCTGAGTGAAATCAGTTACAGCTTAAGGGGAACAGGTAGTTGGGAACCATTACTTAGTTTATTTTTTAAACTTTAATTTTTAACATGAGATTAATTTACTTACAGATGAAACTATCACAGATGATGATGGTGATGCAAATGATCCAGAGTTCAATTACATAGCAGAAGCAGAGAGAGAGAAGCTGGACAAAGAAGATTTTAGATGTGATAAACCAACAAAAATCACAAGTAAGTTCATTTCGCATGTTCAAATATGATGTTACATTCTATTTAAACCCTGTGGGATTTATGTTTATTAGAAAGCAATACCCTTGACAGCCAGGCGCAATGAGCTCCACTTGCTCTCTCTATAATTTTATTACTGGCATCTCCTTGACAATATCGTAACCAAAATAATTTTAAGAATGTTTCCACAGAAAAAGAACTAAACATCCTGATCGATGAGCTGAACGGATTATTTGAAGATGAACTGTTACCATACCAAGTTGTGGCCAGTGCTCCAGAGGTTAATTTTCAAATGTCCCAGCATAGCAGGCCTGAAGGTGACTACCAGGACTTGCCGTCCACTTCTTCCACATCATTCGCAGACTTTAAAACACCCCATGCCCCTCCCTCACACCAGCAATTGACCAGTTCAGTCAGCTACGATGATAATCAATGTGTAAATAACACTCAGAGCAGTCAGGGTCGTATCCAACAAGATCAAATGCGGTACGAAGGACTGGACTGTGTTGCCAGCAGGTACATTTTAGATTATTTTGATATTCAATTAAAAGGTGTGGTTTAGATGAAAGCTAAAAAGAGTTGATTCAAAATATATTTTGGTGTTTTTGTGCTTAAAAATGACTTTGCCTTGATTTATTTAGATAACTAGTTCAATTCAACATTTAAGCTTGGGACTGAAAACACAATTAAGTAGTTAAACAATCATCTCTATGTAACAGCTACATCCTAACCTTTCTTAATAAAAATGTGAAGTTGTAATAGTGTCTCATTCATCTTTTTTCTTTAAACCATTTGCTTTTAGTGCATTGCCTGAAGAAAGTGGGAATACCATGTTTACTTCTGCACAGCTTGCCATAACTCATGATAACATGAGAAAGGTGGGTAGTATTTTCAAACATTTTTAAGTGCAAACCTAACTTCTCTTAGTGTATTCAGCTGATACCTAACTTCTCTTAGTATATGCAGTTGATACCTAGCTTATTCCAGTATATGCATTTGATACCTAGCTTCTCCTAGTATATGCAGTTGATACATGAATTACAGTTTTAGATAGGGGAAAAAAAGGGATCAACTCTTAAAACTGTGTTACTCATTTGTACGCCATTTTATTTCCCTTCATGTCTCAGATGTGGTCAAAGCTGAAAATGTCCTCTGGCTTTTTGTTTTTATATTATTCATTAACATAAAGTTAAGAAAATAAAACAACTTTGCCTTTTCAACATTTGACTTATTTTTCCACTTTTTAAATAATTATTATAATCAGTCTGTTAGGGTATTTCATCTGAAATTATTTCCTTTGTCAGCAATTTTGCTATTACTATTATGTTAGTTTAACTTTCACTAGAAAATGCAACAATAAAAAAAGTCATTAAACACAGTGCTTTCTCTAAAGTGTAAAGTATGTGAAAGTACTATCATTTCAGTGAAATTCACTTATATTCTGAATTAAAATGAGCCACATGTCTGAGCAGTTGAAAAATTGGTAGACTTCTGGTTGTTTTCTGATATCGAAAATGATTTTGACATGATCTTTTGCTGATACCAAAATGAGCAAATTATGTTTTTTTTGTTTTATTGTACTCTTCCATCCACAGCACATTCAGCTCTTGGCTCAAAGTTTTCTCTTGTTCCATAATACAGCAGGAGAACTTTCAAATTTACCAAATAATATGATTGTAAGTATGCACTAATTATTAAAAAAGTGAAACAAATGCTGCATGCTTATTCAAATTAATAATTTCTAAATATTGTTTTATAAGGACTGTGATTACCAGATAAAGATATTGAAATAGCTGTGCCTGAAATATATATTTGAAACCATGATGTCAAACTTTGTGTTAAAATGAAATAAAACGCTAACATTAAATAGAGCAACCCATTATCACATGATAAGATTGAGATAGAGCGAAATGAATGAATAACCTTTTAGTAATTTAATTATAGATGGAATTGGCAAATTTTCGTGACAACTCTCCTGCCCTGCATAGTTCTGTCTACAACGTATGCAACCTGGATCCAGCGCTACAACTGGTGGGGAATGAAGAATACATTTTTGAAAATATTGGATCAAGTAACGTTGGGTCTATCAAAGGCAAACAGGGCAAGCATAATACGATAACTAGGCTCTAAATAACTTATTTCATAAGCAAAACCATAACAAACATACAACATTCCAACACATGTATTTCTTTATTTAAAATGTTAAACTATCTTATATGTATCCTATTATACATGTTAAACTGCTTTAAGTATATCTATTATAAATTTTAAACTACCTAAAATGTATCCTGTTGTATATGTTAAACTACATTACATGTATCCTATTATTTATCTTAAACTACCTGATATAAATCCTATTATATGATTACTACTTTTGTAGGTGATTCTATGCTGACCATTGCACAAAAGAGAGCTATTTACAATAGTCCAGTCTTTATCTACCCAACCTTACTTCCACACTTTAGAACCAAACCAAACGAGAAACAAAAATGCAATAAATTTTTGGAAAGTGAGGACAAGTAGGTCATACTATGAATATGTAATATTTCATTTAATTGTTTTATTTTATTGTAATTCCTGAATAATGTATTGCTAATTTGTGTTTGATGTTCTAAATACAAAATTGACAACTATTTAAAAAAAAAAACTATCATGAAAAGGGAGCATATATAAAGTTGGAAATAGAGAAAAATAAATGTCAAGATTGTCATTTTTGCTTTGCTAAATAATACGAGCAGGGTTATAATTGTATAATTGGCCTCAAAATTCAATATTGTATTAATAATTACCTAATTTAATGTATCCTTGCAGTCTCATAGCACTTGGACTTGAGCAGTTTCAGTACTGTAGAAATGTCTTACCGGTGAAATTGATTCAAGATCTGTTAATAAGAGGAAAGTCTACCAACCAAATTCACTTTCGTATTCAGTTTAAGTCTTCAGCTAAAACCGGAGATAATGCAATCAAGGTAACAGATTAGCTGGAAATGTTAATTTGGATTCTATCTTATTGGTAACAGTGAAGTTGTTCCTTTTTATCTTGGTATTTTCATTTATATTATGAATAACTCAGTTTTATTTATAAATATAATTTTGTTCACAGTCTGTAAAAAAGACTGGCAAGCTACCCATTGATTTCCCTAAGCCAGCTGTTGACCAGTATTTCCCTATGGCACCAAAAGATCAGTGCCATGACAACTTGCCTGTTTGGTGTTTGGTATGTATTAGGCATTGAATAGGTATTAGTGTTCTTATGTGTATTTCTATAAGGACATTTTGATTAATCTCTTCTTGCAGTAACACAATTCATTTTGATAATGCTGCCAAGTTACTTTCATAGCTTATTGTTTTCCCAAATAAAAATCAAATTTTAAAGATGAGAAAAACTAGAATGAGATCTTCTTTTTTTGACTTAAACCCTGAAAGAGGCACATGGAAAAGAAAATGAAAGAGCTGTGCATCCTTTGCCTATTTTAACATCAAGTCCTTTTGCCATATAATTTAAGAGAAGATAAATCTTTATTGTCTTGGATTTGTTTTTGACATTTGCTTACAGAAATATACTTTGCACTCTTCAAATCGGATATAATCATTTTAATAAAATTCTTTATGAATATTCTTTCTCTGGTTTATGAGCAGGGTTTTAACTTCATTTTCTTGTAAATTTAATTTTTATTTCTCCAGGATTTTAAAAGTGGTTCTTTGTCAAATAATTTACAAAGCCAGGTAGGCATCTCAATTTTTAACTTATTTATATAATTTCATGTGTAAAATTAAATTTAAATATCACATTTTTAAATGTAAACATCTCCAATTTGTTTTTTTTAAGATACAGCATGTGCCAAAACTAATAATAATAAAATTCTTGCGATTGTTTCTCAGATCTGCAAATCCAGCATAGGGAGACGTAATTTAGCAGTCACTATTCCTGCACAGTCCCAACACACTGATTATATTTCACCAAATGTTTCATTAACAAAGGCTCTTATAACTCCAAGAGTAAATAAAAAAAGGTAACATCATCAGTTTCTTAAATATTTTAATTCCACGTCCAAAACTTTGAAAACCCCACTTATTTTTTTATCACTATTTTTTTTCATGTTAACTTGAATTTAGTAAATGAAATCAGGAAATGAAAGCTGTTATTTATTTTTTTATTGTGATTAAACATTTTTTTGTTTTTATTGTTTCTTTTTTTTCTTTTTGTGTAATTTGGATGAAGTGAAATGTGTTACGGTAATTTAACAACTGTTAACTTTATTGCACTAAAATATATGTCATAGTTCTTGGATTTCTTTTTTGTTATGATGTGCAAGATATTACCATAAGTTTTTTTTTCTTTTATAGGCTAAACCCAGCTCCAGTATTGCCAAGTGATAACCGACTCCAGACTCTAATTCTACCCAATACTTTGGCCCCTGTCTCTAGTATATTTATCCAGTTCGCCCCCTCACCTGGCTACACAACAACACTGCAACAAACACCTCAAGCTTTGCCAGTGCTTACATACAATATAGCCAGTTCAGCAGTGTCTGATGTGGCAAGTAGCTGTGGTGTAAAAATCAACAGCACGACTCTGTCAACTCTATCCCAAACCAGTCTTTCAACTCAAACAGACGCCACACCTGAAGTTTCCTCCACTGATCAAGTAAGCGGGGGGGCTCAAGTCCCGTCATCACCCGACATGCTTGCTAAGTCAATGATTGCCTGCGGCATCGAAGCTTCCCCCATCCATCCATCACCACCATCCCCTTCTTCTCAGGTTTGTGATATAACCCGAGATGTGGAGCCATGTGCAATGTCCACTCCAACTCCTGCAAACAACAGTCTCAAGCACCCCATTGTGAGAAATCTCAAATCCGCTTTTGATGCCGCCCATAGCTCAACTGTGCAGACAGACATAGACATTACTGCACCTGAATCAGTAGTCGCACCAACCGCAGTTTGGGAACCTCAATTGGTAGACGTTGAAGTGGATGATAAAACTGAAGAACTCGGTTCACAATCCTCTGGCAAAAAAACTATTGAGTTTTCAGAAAGACTAAACTCTAAAAAAATGAATGTGTCAGATGAAGTGAGGAGCTCAGGTTCATCTGAGGATGTAAACGAAGACACTTACATACTACATTACAGTGAATCAGATAAAGACTCAACTATGGTAACTGATGATGATGATATTGACCTTATGCAGAGCAGGACCAAAGGTTCAAAAGTTTTGATAAGTCATGGCGTTTCTGAGAATTCGGACTGGATAAACAATAGCAAAAATGGACATTTGGTCATGTCGAGCAATGGTTTGGACAAAAAAAAATCCCATGATGATGAAAGCACAAGTGTTTCACAGAACATAATGCTAGCAAAGAAAATTCCTACCATAGATTTAACAGCAGAAAATGTTGATGAAAATATTATTCATGAGAGTAACTCAGGGCAAATATCTAAAGCAAATCTTCATCAAAGCATTGTAAAGGAAGATTGTGTCTTGGTCATTAGTCCCAGTTCTACAAGGAAATGCTCTAAAAGGAGACTAAAACAGACATGTCCATCAAATTCATCAGGTAACAGTCCAAAGGGAGTTACACTATGGGAGCAAAGTAACTCACCTGTTAAAACACCAGCACTGCCGCTTGACACACGGATCTCTCCCCAAAAACTCAGACCTTTAGCTCCTAAACCTGAAACCCCATCAAAATTAAACTCCCCTGGATACATTCCTCTTCCCAAAATGAGTCCCAGAAGAAAGGAGCTCAACAAACAAGTACGCAACCTTCTGCCCAAGTCTTTTATCTTTGAAGCCAAGACACCATCCCCAACAAAGAATGCGGCTCTCCTGTTGAAGAAGAAGGCCACCCTGGTATGTCAGCAGAGAAGCCCTGTCAAGATTCTACCCAAAGCCCCTCAGCCAATTGTTTCCCCTTCAAAGCCGAGGCCTCGAGTCACAGTAACACCCTCAAGAATGTATACCAGATCTCAGCATGTCAAAACTAAAACTGCAGGTGAATAAAAAAAATAGAGAAATTTTGTCTGTAACTTATCAAATTCAAGAAAACTTCGTCTTTCTGTATTTAATGAAATTAAAAGCTAAAAAAATATGAAGTAGAATTTTAATTGGTGTCATCTGAATTACCCCAATTTTTCTACTTCTTGCATTACATATTTTTACAAGAGTGAATTGTTTATTTTTGTATTGCTCATTTATGATTTTTATGCTTCATTGATCTTTTTACAAATGAGAAAATAATAACCAAGAATTCAGGCAAGTTTTAAAACACTTATTTTATTTGTGTATTAACCATCCAGGGATTATATTAGTAAGAAAATAAAACCATATACCACTTACTTAAGTTGAAATAAGAGCAGACATTGTTTGCCATTATTCAGTCTGTGTTCATCAACATTCAACAAACATTTGTTTGCAAAAATCATTTTTCAAATAGCAATTTTTTGGGGGTATGAGTATGAAGAAGAAAGGTTCATGATTAAATTTGATGATTATCAATGAAAGTGAACATAGATGAAGTAGTTATAAATTGATTGCTTGATCTGTACATAAATAGTTGTTGCAGCCCAGAACATTAGCCAAGAGGACTTCAAGAAAAAAGATACGCTTGCAGGAAAAGATAGACCAGCTGAGAGTGAAATAGAGGAGGCAAATCTGTCTCAGGAAGATGAAGAAGAAGATGATGAAGTGTTTGGTGATGATGATCAGATGCAGCTGGAAGATCTTATGGCAGCATGTACAACTATTGGGTGAGCTAGATACAAGTTGTGTTAAATTCATTATTTACAGAGTATGTATTAAAAGTATTTACATTTTAAATCTTGTGAAAGAAAGATATTTAGTTTAAAAATAGGCTATTTTTAATTTTTCAATTCCTTGCTCCCTCTTGATATAAAATAATTTAAAATAATGGACATGCTTCTGGAGTCTCTTTGTTTATGAAAAAAAAAAGACTTGTGAAAGCATTCATGTGTGAGTCAACACAATTCATTTCCTTTGCTGCAGAACACTATTATACCAGGAAATATTTTATCAAGTAATACATTCCAACTTAAGCACATGGAGTATTTATTGGTGCTATGATACATTTCATGTTCAGATACACAGCTCAGCACTATGTCACTTTATGTCCACAGATATGAGCCTAAAAGAGGAGGAAATCAGGACACAGACACTAAAAGCAAATCCCAGAAGAAGAAAGACTTGTGTCTGGCTATGCTTGAGCCAGATCTCATTGAAAGGGATCCAAAGGTACCATCTTGATGTCATGGCTTTTAAATCATGCATGTTCAGTTATAGTCTTTTAAATTTATAAATCACAAGGCAGAAATAATGTACACATTTAAAATTTGTAACACTTTTAATTTTTTTCTTACTTCTTCAAGTGGATAGCGGGTTGCTATATAAATATCTAATTTGATAGTGAACGAAGGAGAATTGTTAATAGGGTTTTTGAAACTGTATCCATTATTAACATTTCATAATGTTATGCAAGTTGAACATTTTTATCTGTTTTCAAGTTTACAGCCACGTTTTGAGACTGTTCAAAGAAAAATGATATAGTTTTTACATTTTTGTTTAATTTCTGTTGGCATGCAAACAAATGTTTTACACTTCAGAAAGATGAACGTGATACAGCATATGCACAGTACTATTTCAACCGTGTTAAAGAAGTTCTTAAAGATGACCCAGAACGTTTTAGGAAATTTTTGACTCAACTTCATGACCTGAACAAGGACCACTGTAACCCTGTAGAGGTCAGTTTCATGAAATGATAATAACTGGGGGAGACTGCAATCAGGTTAGGTAAAGGAAATATGTAGGACAAGGTACGGGAAAACCTATAAAAAAAAAAAAAAAGAGAGAAAAAAAAAAACAAAAGAATAAAAAAAAAATACAAGGACCACTTTAACCCTGTAGAGGTCAGTTTCATGAAATGATAATAACTGGGGGAGACTGCAATCAGGTTAGGTAAAGGAAAAATGTAGGACAAGGTACGGGAAAACCTATAAAAAAAAAAAAAAAGGGCGCAAAAACACAGCGAACGTGTCAGCAAGAAGCCTTCATAAAACAACATGGAGGTTGGCCTTCAATGCATGTTGTATAATATTAAAAGTCTATAAACCTAAGCTTTAAAAAATGCTTACTCAACAAAATATTGTGAAGATGACATAAAGATTACAAAATAATATAATGACACAAAGATTTCTATGTTTGAATTAATTTTCTCGAGTTAAAACATATTCCTTACACTGTAAAATAACAACAACCCTGAACTTTCTTTTCTCCTACTCTTAAAAAAAGTTGGGATAGTAAAATGGAAGCCGACTACAACAGTTGAAAAGAGAATGAAATGTGTGACCCCATTTCTAGCCTACTGTTCTACCATTTAACACAGGCTGTCATGATGAGCTGTAACTTGTAACATATAGTAACTTTATTTAATATGTAGTAACTTTATGTAACATGTAGTAGCTTCATTTATCATGTAGTAACTTCATGTAACATGTAGCAACTTTAGATGTATGGCAACCCGTCTCTGACTGCTTAAATGATTCCTAAAGTTTGTTTCATTTTTGAAAGAAATCTTCTGATTTAACAAAAAAACAACATTAACTTACTGCTGGATTTGTATTTGTTCTTGTCAGATCATAATATTGCTAAATTATTTCTAGTTAACATTACAACAATTAATATGATATTAAAATCCCTTGAGAAGAATTTTCTTTAAAAGGAATCATTCCATATATGATGCCATGGTTAACTTTGACATTGTCTTAAAATTTCTCTTTTCATTTTTCCTATTTACTAAGCACTCAGCAATTTTGCACAGTTGTTGAAATTTAGCCTTGTTGATTTTCAATTTTCATCATTTTTAGCTTCATAATGTTATCTTAAAAGCCTAGAACAACATTGTCTTTATTAAGCCAGAGGCTGGATAATTTTGCACCCCCATTAAATACTTAACCCATCCACTTTCCAACACTGAGCTCATCAACACACTGTTTATGAACTGGCAGTTCCAGGGCTGTCGGCTGTAGCAAATCTAATGGTTCAAAAAGGCTGGGAGTTACTCCTGGTAGTGTTTCACTCACTGTAGAAGTTTTTGAGACTGCAGCATGTGCATTCACATTTTCTTTAGAGCAAAAGTTAGCGGGGTCAACCTGTCTGTTTTTTTGACGTTGTTGACAAGGATATTTGAAGATGTACAGAAGCTGATCCCTGAATTTGCGTCCTGTGAGGATGTACAAGAAGAAGTTGATGCAGTGGTTGCCGATCATGAGGACATTAACAAGACTTGCGGTTAAGGTATAATTGGCCAATATTTGAAAGTCGATGACCGGAGGATTTTGTATAAAATTGAAGACCGTTGGTCTGAGGATTGTCAGAATAATCCTGGGAGCCGTCAGGATGACAAAGGTGAAACTAACAGCCAGAAGTGTTATTGTTAGTCTTCGGTTGACCCTAGCAACAGAAATATTCATCTCACTTTTTACTGATCCTCTCAGAGATGAATATATTTTAACAGATTTCCTGTGGCTTCTAATGATCAAAGTGTTAAAAATAATTAGACAGAGGAATGGAAGAAATGAGTAAACAGTTGCATCTATCCAAGGCCATGTATTTTCCACAAAATCTTTGTAAGAATCATAAACAATACACATATTCTGCAGAGTAGCCTTAGACGTGACGACCCCCATGGTAAAGAAAATGTGAAGATTTATAAAAATCATTGTTACCATTAGAATAACAATGACAATTCTTGCCTTCTTGGGTGTGGACCACCTCAGGGCTTTGAGAGGATAAGTGATGGCTATGTATCTATCTATGGTCATAGCAACCAACAACCAGGCGCTGAGGCTAAAACTCCAATAGGCTTGGAAGTTCAGAAACTGGCACATGGTCGTGCTGGAAGACCTGGGGTCATGGTTCTGGGTTAGCATCCAGCGAATGAGGCCAGGACCCAGCACCACAGAGAGGTCGGCGAGAGCCAGGGCAGCCATGTAGTTGCAGATGGGCAGACTGGTCAGGCCCAGCATGACCACCAGGGCAAGTGTGTTGGCCACACTACCCACCACCACCTCTGAGATGTAGCCATAAGTGTTGATACTGCTGGCCAGACGGTAATTAGAGAATGTCATCAAAAACATTTCAAGGCGGTCCTGAGGGTTGATGTTGGATGGTGGAAGTAAAGTTGTCGGTGCTGATTGTTTGGTAAAATTAAATTCCAGTTCAGGGTCCACAGCCAGATCATGGCTTTGATTCATTTTGTTCTTTTAGAAAAATGTCCACAATTATATTATTGCACTACAAATTCAAGAGAAAAAAAGTTTCCAATTTGAACAATTAAAATAATTTTAATGTTTTATTCCAGCTGAGTCACTCACATTTTTTTTCTCCAATGAGTAGAAAAAAATATTTCCTTTTGTATTAGGGAATATTGTGCTGTGTAGCTCAGATTTTTTATAATTATTGGTCAGTGGAAAAAAAGAAATCAAATTTTGGATGAATTTGTACAATGATCTGTTATTGTTAACTTATTATGAAATAAGTTCTGCAAACAATACTGACAATTTTTTATTTTAGCAACAGTTGTCCATATGAATTAATCCAAAATAGAAATAACTTAGTACCTGTGCCAACATTAGTCATGGTATGATTGCCTCAAAACTGCAGGGGAATAATTCTGCTCCGATTGTTTGGCTCATGTCTGAGTTGCCTCCTCATTGCGTTTATGACCCTGTTGTAATTTGTATGACCAAGGTTTTCATTATGCTCCAAAACAACATTTTTTAAAGACCTTATTTCTAGTGATGAAATAAAATTACGTGCAATGAAATTTTATATTTTGTACCCCTCCAAATTCCTGAATAGCTTCCAGGAATGTGGCTTCTGAGAATAAGCAGTTAGAATACTATATGTAAAGAGGAGCATATTATTGTCCATAAAAAAGAATTCAAAGTATTATTATGTCTAAATAGCTTTTTAAAACTGTATCAGTACTGAATTTTTAAAAATGTATTTTTAAAAACATATTTTAAAATTCAGTGATTACTATTTTGATCTGATGAAAAGGTCACTGAAAGGTTATCTAAGTACAGATAAACTTTTACTCCAACAATTAATTTATTAAAAACACATGAGAATAAATTGGTCAAATGATCCTAGAATCAAGTTGTGGGGCACAGGTGATTGGTCTCATGGATTTGAGGGCCATTGAGAAGTCAAATGTTTGCACACAGTTTTTAAAGTGGTGTTGTTGTGCAGTGCAACCCAACTTGATGGACCAATGAGTCCCCAACAGAACAAATTATATGGATGTTTTACTATCGTTTGAATAGCACTAGCTATTTTAAGACTCACTGATGGCAGCGTCGTAAAGGTTCACACTATAAATTAATTGTGGCACTCTAATTTATCTGCTGGTGTCCTTCATTTTGTTCCAATGTAATAATTAGGCTCAATTACATGTAATTTATGATACTACCATGAGAAAGCAACATGTGAGCCAGCTGTTTTAATCTACGTTCAATCTTACAATGTATTTATTTACCAGTCTAAGTTCAGTCTTACAAAGTATTTACAAGTCTCAGTTCAATCTTACAATGTATAGACAGTCTCAATTCAATCTTACAATTTATTTTTAAATGACTGATTACATGGAGGCTGCATATGATACTACCATGAGAAAGCAACATGTGAGCCAGCTGTTTTAATCTAAGTTCAATCTTACAATGTATTTATTTACCAGTCTAAGTTCAGTCTTACAAAGTATTTACAAGTCTCAGTTCAATCTTACAATGTATAGACAGTCTCAATTCAATCTTACAATTTATTTTTAAATGACTGATTACATGGAGGCTGCATATATATTGGTTGTTTACTTTTTCTCAGGAGGCTGCAAACATTTATTTATCCCTACTCAAAAGAGTATGTCATTTTATTTCCCTTAGTTTCTAAAATAAATCTTGCATCACAATCACAGTTTGAGTAGTGACTGTAAAACAGATCATGAGATATCCAGGTTTTGTTCTGCATTGAAAATACTCCCTTGCACTGTCAGTTGTTTTTTCAAACCTTTTTTCACATTCTCCTTACAGCATGGTAACTATGTTTTTTTTTTTTGTGCGGCACAGAAACTTAATCGCAGGCAAACCTCCGTTTAATATGGCTGTACCTAACTGATCTATATCCCCAGCTTTATGCTGACATGGCTGTACTCCTATCAGACCACCAGGATCTTGTGGACGACTTTGGTGGCTTTCTCTTGTCATTCCAAGCAGTGGAATGTCAGTGTTTTATTTCCAGCCTAGAGTATCAACAGATTCGAAGCTTTTTAAGACAGCTTGAGGTAAAACATTCAGCTGTAAGAATAGACACCAGGCAAGACTGTATGGAATGCATTTTATAGATAAATTATTTATTTATTCATTTAAAGCTGATATATCACTAATTTTTAAGCTTCATAAAAATATTACAATAAACTTAATTTCAATTTCTGTTCATTAAATAGCTTCCTCGGAAGGATCTCATCAGCCATTTCAAAATAGCATGCCTTGAAAAAAAGATTGAAAGTGATTAAGTGATCATCTAAATGGCTAAGATAACTGGCCAACACAAAATTTGGTGCCTCAAATGTTAGACTTGTTTCCCTCTGATTCTGGGGAGTATAAAGTTGTTAATTCCCCTACATTTGTATTAAATAGGCTGTGACTATCCCACAATTTTTTTCCGATTAACTGTGAGAAGGCCACCTTACATTTCACATCAGCTGACGTACCCAGTTTTTTTTTTTCCAGATTAACTGACAATTCCACCTTACTTTATTAATTATTAATTTAATTTTCAGATCTACTGTGACAACTCCACCTTCACATACCAACGCACTCTTAAAATGATGTCCAAGTGGCTGAGCTTGAATCAAGATGCCCAAACAGATTGCACACCATTCAGGGATAGGATTAGTGCTGTATTACGGCATGTTCCTGGCCTCATGGATGACCTACTTTCATACTTCTTTGATGCACCATTACCTGACAGGTGAAAGTCATGAAAGTGTATTGGATGTTCAATTATAGTTTGTTGTGTGTACGAGTAAGAAAAAACACCCTTTTCATTAACAGTGAAAAAGTTTTAGTAGCGCCATCTACAGTTTTAGTAGCATCATCTATAGTTTTCGGAAACAAAACTAAAGGGTTTACATTTGCTGATCAAGCAACATTAAATAGCTTCTTACTTGCTGTCAGAAATTTGATATTTTAATAATAAAAAAAACCTTTTATTTTAATAATTAAATTAATAAATAATTCTTTAAGTGTGCAAAGAGGCTAAAATGTCAATATTAATCCCATAAAAAAAAAATAGACAGCATCGTGATCCCTATTATTAAAGAAAGCAGTTGAATGCACAGAATTTGGTAATATTATGTAAATGGCAAAATAATTTAGAAACTTAATTTTAAATACTTATCCATCAAGGGGTGCCACTTTTCCGGATTGTTCCGTAATTCTGGATTCATTAGGCAAAATATTTTTCAGCTCCGGATTTGTGAGGTTTTTTTTTCTCTCGCTCCGGATTAGCCAGATCAGTTTATTCAAATACGTTTCTGGGTTTAAAAACAAAATCAATGCATAAGAACGCGCGAAAAACTATTCAGCAAGAGCGGGTTTGCTATAAATAGAACAGGTACTGCAACCTCTCGCTTTTGTTTGCAAGCCTCTCACTTTCATTTGTAATTATTGCACAAGAAATTATTTCTACAGTTTATGAATTTTATGAGTTTCGTTAAGTTTCAGGGTTTGAAAAATTTGTAAATGAAGTTTCAGGTTTCAAGAAATTTTTAGAAAGGTATTTCGAGGTTCACAGATACCCCGGATATCCATTTTTAAATAATTATTTTTAAAAATTTTACCTTGTTACTTGTTCTTATGCAGCCACCCTGATGATTATGAGAATGTAGAACTAGATGAGTTTTATGACCTCAGTGAAACTGACAAGTTTGAAGAGGTCACTCTGCCAGAAGGAAGGGAAGATTATAACACTAAACTTTGCTCCTGCAACTGTCACGCAGACCAACAGGATGAAAAGTTGCAGAAAAGAAGCCGCCATTGTGTCTCATGCAGCCTTAAGGTTTTTTTTCCCCTGTTGTGCTTCTTACATTTTATTTTACGTTTTAATACATTCTAATTATCTAGTTTAGTATTTAAAAAAATCTGCGCAAACATAAGCTCAGTTGTCAAAATTTTTCTATAATTTTTTTACTTTAATCTAGTTTATTGACACTAAAATATATCCAGAATTTCTGTAAGACAGATGTCTCCAAGCTATGAGAGGCACAGGCCAGTACATAAAGAGTGTAAAAAGTTTAATCTTTGTATGTGCTTGTATATGTATCCATTTCATTTGATGAAATAATGATGGCACTGAGTAGGGTCGCACTGATTAATTGGCAGGTACTTGCCCCTTTACTTGTTTAATGGGTAATCACTTTTTCAGGCCGATTAATCGACCTTCTGAAAATGTTAAATCTAAGTCTAGAAAAGATTGAATGTTTTATGTGGTTTTATCAAATTTTTACCCAATTGGATTTGTCTAAGACACTAAACCCACTAACTGAACCCAATAACTAAGCCCACTAACTAAGCCCACTTTCTGAGCCCACTAACTGAGCCCTCTAACTAAGCCCACTAACTAAGCTTATTTTTTTTTTTTTTTTTTTTTTTTTTTTTTTTTTTTTTTTTTTTTTTTTTTTTTTTTTTTTTTTTTTTTTTTGTGTATGTGTGTTAGGAAAGTAGGAAAGTTTAGCCCGAGCAGAACGGTATGTCACTGCTAGTACTATATTAGATTAATGTCTTTTTCTGATGACGAAAAGTTGAACATAATTTGTTACTAAAGACGCATTTTTTCAAAGTTATCTCAAATTTGACAGATGTTAATTATTTTAAAAAAACAATGTCTGCAAATGCTACCTGTACAACGGACCGTCTTCCCTGATGCTGCTTCATCCCTTAATTATTGCATGGGTACTTAAATGATGTAACCTTTTGGTGTAAGCATAATGCTCCTCCATGCAGTGAAGTAGCTAGAATTTTGTGGAACCCAGGGCGTTCCTTGATTTTCCCACCCCTCACTCACGAAAACCACAAAATATAAAGAATACACATAATAGATCAAACATATTTAGTGTATTCCAATCAGATGCTTAGTCCTGACCTAGGTGCAAGGGTCAAGTGTTTGGGCGACAGAGGAGCGCTTGCTTCTATTTCATGACATGGTTGTTTTCATAATAATGTGTTACAATAGTGTTCCTCTAACCTAAATTTCAGCTTCATAATACTACTTATAATGATAAATTATGGTAGAGTCTAATTACTTATCTAAAACTTTAAGTTAAAGACATAATAAATAATCAGCGGGTGATTAATCAGTATCGGCTGATTAAGGCAGACGGATTAATCATTAATTTGCCAATTCGCTAATTGGTGCAACCCTAGTGCTTAGAAATGTTTTTAAAAAATATGAGACACAATTGATCAGACAGTTTGGAAATCACTGTAGCATTACATGACTATCTTGCAAGCTATGTTGCACAATACATTTCTGAGGAAATGTTCTATAACATTGTAGATTTGAAAACTTTTAAATAAAACATATTACGTGACCGTCATATATGCTTCATAAAAAAAATACTCCTCTCACTTGCAGATGTTTGATGGGAGACCAGTGTTGAAAATGTGCCGCAATGAGTATCATGATGTGTCCGTGGTTTACCCCCTGGAGGAGAAGGAAAAGTTGGCCAGGGCCAAGAAGGAAGCGGCTCAGATAGCCCTGGCCAAAGCCAGAGCTCAGAGGCAACAGAAGAAGAAAAACAAAAAGAAGAAATCTCTGGGGAAACTCAAGCCCAAAAACTCTAGAAAGAAGAAGAAGATTAGGAGAAGAAACTCTTCCAAGCTGGGGAACAACCTGGGTAAAAGCTCAACTCCAAAAGATATGGCCGTGGGAGGCAACTCAGAATCACTGGCTCCATGTAGTTCAATGATTAACATAGAGAAAGACTCTGAAGACCAGTCCGCAAAGGAATGCGGCACAAATTCTAAAATGTTCGAGTCCAATTATTTGGCTTTGATCAAAGAGGAAGTAAAAATAAAAACAGATCGGCTTGAGTCTATGACGGATCCACAAATCTTAGTCTGTCAAAGTGATCCATCTCCTGATTCTGGAAATGGTGTCTCTGCTTCAAACCAGCCATCTTTAGAAGCAAACTTAAAGATGCTTCAATCTTCTGTTAAGCCTTTACAGTTGACCTCAGACGGCACAGGGACTTCAGAGTTCAATTGTAAAAGTCCTACAGCAATATTCGTTTCATCAAACCTAAGCCCTAAATGTGGATCACCAGCTTCGCCTAAGGTTGGAGCAGTTACAAAAACATCTTTAGCAAGTCTGTCAGGAGGACCAAGCACTGACTTAACCCATGTGTCACATCCAGACGCTCTTGCCCAGCCGGTCATTTTCAGTGTGACCAACTCCCTCCCACAAGCTAGATTTATGAGACTTACCGCACCAAATGTAACTCCTTCTATCAGGGCTCAGCTCCCTGGCCCCAGCTTTCCTTCCTCTACAATCATAGGGGCAAGGATTCCTGTCATGATTACATTGCAACCCCAGATGTCTCTCAGACCATCATGCCAGCCAAGTGTTGAACCAACGAATCTTCAAAAATCCAAAAATGCCAATCCTTCCAAGTCTCCGACACGCAGAATGTCACAGAAAAAAAATCCTAAAGAGAAAACATCGAGAAAGTATAAAGGGAACACGGGTGAGGCAAAAGAAAAGTCAAAACAAGGCAAAACTGTATCAGCGAATTGCTCAAATCAGACAGAAGTGTTGAAAAGCTGTTCAACTGATGCTTCAACAAAGTTAGACACAAATTCAGCTGAGGCCGAAACGTCAGTGGCGATCGCCAGACAACGTTGCGTTGGTGTGACCGAGGCTCGTCCAGCTGCCGGCACAGGTGTCCCTGGTGTTGCCGTGACATCTCCAACAACACCAACTAAAGATGGAAAACACACCAGCCTGGTGTCAGGGCTGGAAGATACCAACAGCTACCTGACAGCTCTGAGCAGAAACCCAAGTCTAATGAATGAACTTCAGACCTCAGATACGTGTAGCTTATTTCATTTCTCACCTTCAAAGTTCAAAGGTAAACTTCCAGACATTGTACGTGCGCATTTAGAAAATTTTTCTCTCGGAGGTTTTGATGAATCAATGGACATTCATGTCCAACAACTGGCACAGACAATATCTCCCAGTAAACTTGGAGATTCTACTTCAAAATTTGATATTTTAGCCTTTTTAGAGTCATCCAACCTGGCAGTGAAAGAAACTTCTGGACTTTCCAGTGGAAAAAATGTGGGCACTGCAGATGCTGAAACAAGACTATCTTTTTCTGGTGCTTTATCTGAGATGAGCTCTCCAGTTTCAGGTCAGACTTTTGTCAATCCTGTCGATAAAACGGCTGTTTCAGTAAGCACAGATGTTCAAGCAAATTTATCCCAAGACCAGCCGTCAGGGAAAGAAGCAAACAGAAATGAATTCGAATTTGATAAAACAAAATTAAAGCATCATGAAAAATCAAGCAGCATTTCTCATGCTGGTGAATCTTCTCATGCGGATGACTTTCCTCATGAGGTAGACTCTTCTCAAGCGGGTGACTCTTCTCAAGTTGATGATATTGAAGAATGGACAGAGTAAGTAATAAACTAGTTATATTTTGTATTAGGGGGTCGTTCGCAAATTATGGCACGCAAAAAAAGGGACCTTTTTAGACACCCCACTGTCATAAAGTGTCATAAATTCACCCCTCCCCCGCCCCATTACACCTAAAAAAATGTCAAAACATACATCAAATTTTCATAACTAAGATTTTCATTTTATTCTTTAAAATTTCCCCATAATGGATTAAGGTGTTGTATTAGAAAACTGTAATGTAAAACTCAAAGCAACAAAGTCATCCTCGACCCGAATGTAAAATGGCCACAACAGTTTTTGCATCATTTTTCGATATGGGCAGAAGGTGTGCACAACTGAGGTTCACAGTACCTATCCTACCTGAGGCAATTTGGACCTCAAATTAATGTTTTTAAAATTAATTGAATAAAGATTTTTCAAAATTGGAAAGTTTTAGATTTTAAAAAAATATTATTTTTTTTGTGACGGCACAAATTTTTTGACATCCCCACCTGTCACAAATTCTCGAATCTCCTCCCCCCCCTCCCCGAGCATGACAATATAAAAACAACCTCTTACTTGTTCATTGTACTGGGCTGTATATTTTGTATTACTTGTTCATTGTACTGGGCCTTTTATTATACTGAATGACACATTTTTTTGTTACCCAATGTTATCAATAATTAGCTGGAGACTACTGACTCTTCGGGGAAGGAAACACGTTCATGCATCTATTTATAAAATTGGGAAAAAGTAGAATTTATTTTAAAAAATGAGAACTCAAAGGATCTTGTCCTCTATGAATTTAAAATCACTATTACTTCTCTGTCAGTCTCTGTTTCTGGTCATAGGGCAATCACATTTATTTTTGGAAATTTGATGGTGGTGGGTAGGACGGGGAGAGATATAGGAAATCCCATGGGTTAAGCCATTCCTAGATCCCCTGTTTCAAGGGATCTTTTTTCATTATGCACAATTAATTCACACAGTAAAAAAAAAATGAAATTGTGTGGCTCACTCTTTGTCAAATAATGTTTTTGTTTTCTTCACTTAGATGTTACATTTACTATCAAATTAATTTGTTTTATTTGATGATTTCATAAAAGAAATAATGAAGCTTTTGGGAACAATAATTAGATTTGAAAAAAATCTGTCATCCCTTATAGGGAGTGGGATAGAAGCATCTTGAATGTTGTGGCTGTAGAAGGTATGAAGGATCAAGCCATTAGAAAAATTCAGGCTGAAATTCCAGGAAAATCTGCCAAAGAGGTAAGTAGTTTCTGGCCAGGTCAGCTGTTGTCCTTTTAAATATGCTAATTTTAATTTAAAAAAATCAGAAAAACTTCATTGTGTCTTTAGATTTTTAAATGTGTTACCTTAGGTTTCAGATGAGCCCTGGTTTTTTCCCCCCCCCCCCCCCCCTTTTCATGATTGTGCTGTTAATCCATAATTTTATGTTGATCAGATCCTGTCACGTGCCAGGCTGTTACTTCAGATGCTACAAAACATGGGAGATGGTGACAGTGATACGGGCACTGAGATGTCATGTGATGACAGCTCTAACATGTGATGACAGCTCTAACATGCGATGACAGATCTAACGTGTGATGACAGCTCTACCATGTCATTATAGATCTAACGTGCGATGACAGCTCTAACCCATGATGACAGCTCTAACATATGATGACAGCTCTAGCATGGGATGACAGCTCTAACATGTGATGACAGCTCTACCATGTGATGACAGATCTAACATGTGATGACAGCTCTACCACATGGGGACAGCTCTAACGTGGGATGACAGCTCTAACATGTGATAAGCATTTTGACTTGTGTCCTGTGTACTCACTGGACTCTCACTTGAATAAAGCTCCAAGGAAAAGTGAGTTTGGCAATGAGATCATAGTGACAATTATTCCAGATTTTCAAACTCAAATTTAAGTGCAATAAAATCCTTAAATAATTGTTCATATTGCCTGTGTTATATATCCACTTTGTAAAACTACAATAAAAAAATTAGTATGAGACAATTTTTTTTAATGAAATAGAAACATGTCTCTGAAATAACTATGCAAAATTCATGATAACTTTATTATGTCTTATTGCGTTTAAAAAAAAAAATTCTTATTTTTGTATTTTTTATTAAATTGCTACAAATTATTAAGGGATAATAGATGGGGGGGGGAGAGCTTTGGGGAACCATGTTTTTTATGCTTTTCATTTGATTTGCAAATACATTTGTTTCATTCCTTTTTATCATTTCCTTTACATGTTGCTTTTATTTATACATGTTTTGTGTCCTTCACCTTCAAGTCATGTTAAAATAATTTCCCCATCAAAGACATTATCAAGTTGGTAATCTCACTTTAACTACCTGCTCTTTTGTTATGATATTTGAGGATTGTCCTCATCACTCCATTTAAATACTGTACAAAAAATACTTGAGTTTTATGGAATGCTTGAATGTGGAGAAAGGGCCGGCCGAGGCACAGTTTTTGAAAGGTAGAGGAATGGCTGATTGAGACACATAGTAGACATGGCATCATCAATGATATCACTGGAGCTAATTCAATAAAAGCTTTTGGTGTGTCTTTACTGCTTTTCCCTTACAGCGCTATGTCATCAGCATACGCAAGATACTGAAGGGGTTGGTTGTAGAGAGTGCCAATTGGTTGTGGGTCTTGGATTTCCCCCAGACTGTTCCCCGAGTGTCAATATGTATGTTTCTTATAACTCTTTCCAATTTTAGGTTAAATAGCATACAAGACATTGAGTCTCCTTGTCTTAGGCCTCGTTTAATATAAAATTCCCTTGAATATTCTCCCTGAACCTTGATTTTGCTTTTTGAGTTGGCTTATGTGGTTATGGCAATATCAGTAAGGGAGCACTGGAGCCTTGGACTCGGCTTGTTGGATTCAAAAGTTTAGTTCTGTCGTATCTGGAAATTTAATCGAAAGAAATTTCTTTGACGGTAATTTAAGTTGTTCTCATCTTTTTTTTCAGTTTTTACGTTAAAATTTTGCTTTAAATTTCTTTTTGAAAGCATATTTTGTTTTACTATATAGTATAGTGCTTTCAAAAAGAAATTGGACGAAAATTTTAATGTGTGAACTGAAAAAAATTTCGACTAACTTTCCTTTCGATCAATCAAAGTCATATGGCTTTAGGAGTTCAAAGTCATTAACAAACTGTTAACAAACTTGTAGAAATAACAAAGATGGCTGCGAAAATACTCCTGCATATTGTTCAAATTTTTTTACATGTGTTTTATATAATTATGTATTGCATGTGCATTGACAGTCTAAATATCGGATGACTAAGTATAGGAGAAAGTGAACTCTGATCAGAGATAATTGTGTTTAAAATGCCTTTATGCAAATTATGAAAACTATAAATAAAAGTATTTTAAAATGTTGAATTCACTGTGTGGTAAATATTATATGACTTACCATGTTCTATATCAATGCTTAATGTGAATTTGTGGTGCCATGCCGTTTGTGGGGACTTTGCTTTCAATTCTTTCCATTGTTCATTTATTGTACTTTTGGATTTAGAATACAATCAGGTTACAGAGACAGATATCATTGGATGTTAATCCAATCTGGTTACAGAGACAGATATCATTGGATGTTAATCCAATCAGGTTAGAGACAGATCTCATTGGATGTTAATCCAATCAGGTTGGAGATACAGATATCATTGGATGTTAATCCAATCAGGTTACAGAGACAGATATCATTGGAGGTTAATCCAATCAGGTTACAGGTACAGATATCATTGGAGGTTAATCCAATCAGGTTACAGAGACATATATCATTGGAGGTTAATCCAATCAGGTTACAGAGACAGATATCATTGGAGGTTAATCCAATCAGGTTACAGGGACAGATATCATTGGAGGTTAATCCAATCAGGTTACAGAGACAGATATCATTGGAGGTTAATCCAATCAGGTTACAGAGACAGATATCATTGGATGTTAATCCAATCAGGTTACAGAGACATATATCATTGGATGTTAATCCAATCAGGTTACAGAGACAGATATCATTGAATGTTAATCCAATCAGGTTACAGAGACAGATACCATTGGATGTTAATCCAATCTGGTTTTTGGCCAATATCAACACCTGACTCCTAGTAATCTAAAATCTTTATAAAGCCTCTACAACCCTGATTCCCAAGAATGACTTTATTTTATCATACTTGAAATTATTCCTCGCACTAGGCACGCTTGTAAATAATTTCCAACCGGTCATGTTTTAAATGACTTCATCCTTGATGGCTTGTGCCAACTTTGACCCAGTCACACAAGTTCACTTAACTGGAGTTTCCTAATTTAATAGTGTTAACCCTGGGGTCAAGTAGGTACACAACTTCCTTGGAGAAATGGAGGGAGGGAAATCTGCTTAAAAATAACATCAACTTGTCTCCCTTTTTTTGGGGGGGTGAGGGGCAAGTTGTCAGTCAGTCTGTTTATAGCACTTAAACTACTTAATAATGGGATGAGAATGAATATCAAGTCCTCTTAACATTCTCAATGTTATCATCATTTGAGTGAACGCATGACGTCTGTAATTCATAAAAATGCACATGAACAAGTGTTTTTGTATTTTCTCCCCCTTAATTATGTGTGCGTCTCGAGTCTTAGAACTGAAATGACATCTTGCTGAGATTATTCTGTTCTGTTCTCGCTTTCAACAACGTCAAACAGGTGAAAAGACTGTCATTTTAATTAAATGATGATATAGTTGATACTGCTTTCAAGATTCACACCGTGTAAAGAGAACCCTATAGGAACAAGACCTATTATGGAACATTGCAGAAATATAGAACAAAACAATAACACAGACATTTTGGGCGAAATCTCCTTCTTCACAACAATACAGAGCAAAAGAATACTGAAAAACAAATTTAAAAAACAAACAAACAAAAACAAGAGATCAAGGATTTAGGTGCTTGAAAAGAAAATGAGCTTGAACTGAAGTGAGTCTAAAAACAGAAAATCTACTTGGAAGTACACGAACCACTGGCGGAGGAAGGGTGGGGTGGAGAGGTCGCGCCCCCTCCCCCCACGGGTGGCACTAACCCTAGATTCAACATAACTTTTTTTAGTAAGAGTCCTCCGATTAATTAACAAGAATCAACATAACATGTTGATAAGATCAACAGTGTCAAGGTAATGAACGGTTTTACCGGATGAATTGACAGCGTCCACTCAATGGCCTGTTGTTGCTACACAATGACTCGTGTGTGAGCTTGGCCAAAGTACACATCATTGTTTTAACTATTTAATTGTTGACCAAAGGTCGCGGCAATACTAACAATTCATTTCATTAAGTATTATGCAGGCAGTGGCGTAGGAAAGTAGGAGGTGGGGGGAATGCGCACGTGGCAATCCAACCCGTGCTGCACTTCTTTAAAATTTATATGGAGGATTGCATTTTTGCCCGACTACATAGCTACGACGCTGTAATTAGTTGTTTTTTTTTGTTGCCGTCCATAGAACCAGTTTTTCTTCCAGAAATTTTCCCCGGGGGCGGACTTCAGATTTTCTGGGGGGGGGGG